GACAACTACTAGGTAAAAAACTAGCATACAAGCTAGGAACAGATAAAGACAAAGCAGGTGCAGGTGATGTAGGTGAAGGAATTGGTGAAACTGGAGGTGGATTGCCAAGATAATATAGTCCATCTTTCTCATGTCCCCTGATAATAATCCTCTTGGTACTCAAGTCCTGTAAATAACACGAATCAGATAAGAATACAACTGTNATAGTCCATCTTTCTCATGTCCCCTGATAATAATCCTCTTGGTACTCAAGTCCTGTAAATAACACGAATCAGATAAGAATACAACTGTACAGTAAAAATCTCTGGTTAACTGATGTACAGATAATAGATTCATGGCCAACTTTGACGCATGAAAAATCGAACTTAATGTAAAGCCATCTGGGAGGTGGACTGTACCCCTACTAACAATAGAGGCATGTGTCCCATCTGCTAACTGTTCTTGTGTATGTAACTGCTCGTCAAAAGTGGTGAAGTGATGTGCCTTACCTGTCATGTGACCATTCACACCCGAGTCCAACATCCAAAGGGGAGATGAACTGACACAAGTATGAAAGGCACGAGGTATACTTGTAGTGGTGGCAACAATAGTAGTCGGACTCTGAGAAGTCAAAGCAGACATAAGTATATCTAATCGTGAAGTGATGACATCTATATCACTCTGCCAAGGAGGAACAGCAGCAGGAGTAGTGGTAGTGGGTAGTGGTACCTCAGCAATAGCAATAGTACGGCTGCGAGGAGGCGACTTAAGCTCTGGATGGAGCTTCTAGCAAGTAGCCCTGAGATGTCCTGGTCGGCCACAATAATTACATTGATGAGAATTTCCCTGTCTACGCTGATCTGGGGCACCCTGACGGCGCTGGTCTGAGCGCTGCCCACCCTTGATTGAGGATCCTGAACGAGACCTTGCAGCAGCTGCAAGGGCCATCTGGTCAGCCGAAGGAGTCAAAGCCGCACCTGGAAGTGATGCAATATGGACTCGGCGCTCATGCTACTCAATCATCCCATATACCTCATAAAAAGAAGGAAGTGTCAACATCGACAAGATCTGAGAACAAGGTCCCTCAAACTCATCACGAAGCCCCATAAGGAACTTGTGAATCCTATCCTCCTGTTCTTGAGTATTCAAGAATGCTGCTCCCTCGGGTTCTATCCTCGGAATAGCAGCAAGAGGACGTAGAGTCTCATACTCAAGCCAGCACTGGGCAAATAGCCATAATAATCCTGAACGGTCATATCTCCTTGCCGAGCATATAAGAGCTCATGAGAAAGCTCATAAACACAGACTCCCCGTCCTGACTGAGAATACATCTCTAATAATGCGCTCCATAGCTTTGGAACAAAGCTATGAAACTGGTAGATCCTGCAAACAGATGGCTCCATCGAGTCAAATAACCATCCAAGAATGGCGTAGTTCTCAGAGAACCATGCAGAATATTCAGGGTCGGCATCAGCTGGCTTTGGGTGAGATCTCGTCAGCCAACCATGCTTCCCTGCACGGCCTAAGAAAAGCTGGAATGAGCGAGACCACTCAGTGAAGTTATGACCATTCAACAACTGTGCCGTAACTTTCTGAGAGATCATGTCCGGTAGTGCTGGTAATGCAACTGTGCTAGTAGGTACTGTATACTGGTCAAACATAAAAGTGGAAGTACCCATAGATGTCTCAACAGTAGAGGTCTCAAGTCCTTTAGTAGTAGTCATATCAACAATAATACTAGAGCACCCATGACTGAAAAATAACTCTAAGATAAATAGAGGGATAAAATAGGGGAGAACAATATATCTCCAGTCGAACAGTAGCGACAGATAGAGAAGGTTCAGAAAGCTCCCAAATAATCAAGTCATGGTGCCCAGAAATTTGGTAAATATAAATAAATGATCTACTGCATCAAGTGCATATCAACGGAGAAGAGAATTCAACTCCTCTTAAAAAGTCCGACGATCCTATAACTTGACAACATTGTGACAAAGAGTGCAAAGAACGAAGCTACAACAAAAAAACGCGACCGACAGTGGGTTGAACAGAATTAGGCTGGACAGCAGTGAGCTGGTCTGGGTTTATTAGGTCTGAGTCTGGACTGTTTTTTTTTTTATATTTGGGCAGCGGCGTTGCTGTTGGTGTATTGGATTTGTGTTGGCTGTCAGTGAGATTGGGTGCAATCGGCTTTGGGTACCTTTGGTTTGGTTGGCTAGGCTTGATGGTGTATGTGTTATGGGCAGTCGGTGGGGCTGGTGGAGTATGCTGCAATATGCTTTATGGCAGTATGTTGTTCAATGTTATAATGAAGGGGCAGTCGATGCTATCTGCTTGGTTTGTATGGCTGTCGTTGATTAAGTCGGTGATGGTGGTCTGGTTTGGGCAGCAGAAGTACGGTTGTGATGGTGGTGGTCTGTCGTTGGGTTTGTCGGTGATGGTTGTCGGTGATTGAGTCGGTGATGGGCAGCTGGTCTGAGTTTTGCTGATGGGTTTGATGGGGGCAGTGTGGTGGCTGGTGGCTGCAACGTGGACTAGGAGCTAGGGTTAGAGTTAGGGTTAGAGTTGTGGCTCTGATACCAACTTGTGATAGATGTAAGTAAAAGGGATACAAACTAAGTGTAGAGCCCCCTTATATATAGTCAATGAGAGTTACAATAAGGACAAAAAGGTAAAAAAGAAAACTTAATAAAACCCTAAGAAACTAATCTGCTGCTATATCTCCAACAGCTAATATTATAAATCAGTCTGCAAATACATGAAAGGGAGCATTGGTTGTTGTCATACATGATCTAGAAATTGCAATTGATCTTTGTTTGGACAATCAAGAAGTAGGGCCATTTGCGTGATGTTCATTATGACAAAGTAATGAGAGTGTATCACTCTTCCTCTCATGCATCCAGTGTCTGCTCAAATACTTTGATAATACCCTCTGTGCCTTCTTTTTGTTATTTTTAATTTTCAGTAGTCAGATCTTCAACTTGAAGATGCTGAGTGTCCTATTATATGCTGTTAAAAGAAAATGAGATTTTTCTTAAACAGCTTAATCAATACAATCATATTATTAGGAAAAACAAGAGAGCCAATTTATTAATTGGTAAGGAAATATTTTTTAGTTCATGGCATGTCTAAGGAGAGTGGCTGTTTATTTTTTTCTTTTAGAATATCTATCTTTTGCTTGGTTGGTGTTGGATTTAAATAGGCCATATTTTTGCCTTTGATTGGCATACTTCTGTGTCTGGTGTTAAATCATCAATGTTTAGATTTGATCTGTAAATGTATGGTGATATTCTTCTATGTGTCTAATACGCATACTTTGGAATATGACAGCCTGGCTTAGCAGGAATCAACCTTGGAAAGTTCCTGATTAAACGTGTGGTTGATCTGGTGAAAAAAGATATGCCAAATATTTGTGTATGTACTCTGTTCTCAATAAATGCATTAAAATTTTAAAGAGCCACAAAACACATCTGAATATGTCTTATTGTGAATTTAGTTTCTTTTTTCTTTTAAAGCATGTAAATTTTTTCTTGAGGAATCCTGAGCCAAGGTGATACATTTCCCGAGCTCTGTGACTTTAATTTCCAATAAAGCACAATCCTTTTCCCAATGTTCATATATGGTTTCATAGCTTTCCGTACTTTTATATTCAAATTTAACAAAAGGGTTGGTAATACAATTGTTTTCTTCACAGAACAATTTAAATAAAATTTTTAGGAAGTATTAGATTCACACCCCCACTCATTCACCCTGAAGGACGAAGAAGCCAAGGAATAAAACTCTGCTTGTTATGGAAAGAATGGTTGGGATAACCTTTGAAAGTATTTAGCAGTTTATGTTGCCTTTGAGGTAGCTTTCTTCTCCCTTCAAAGTATTTGCCTGTGATATTTGGTAAGGTAACAACATTACTCCCAGCATATACAATTTTGTTGGGCACACACTTATGTAAATATAGATTTTGGCTTTACATTTTTGCAAGCATATGATGTATTGGTAGCTGCATAAACGCACCATATTAGTGCTGCCAAATATAATCCCCACTGTAAAGGTGATATATTAGGCGTGTTCCATCAGATACCAACAATATACTGTTCATGTGCAGTAAAATGGCGCAATAAAGAATAAATACTCAAAATATGTTTGATCTCAGCATGTCTTCTCCATTTACATGTTTACTTATTTGATTGTCTTAGTTGTGCTTTTGGTCTTTTTTGCTGATACTATTCTGTAATGTATCCCAATAGACATTTGCAACACTTAGCCCTATTCCCGGGTACATGCAATGGCTTTTATCTAAGTTGGCATCAGCAGAGAGATCTGGTTCCACCTTCCGGGAGAACTTGCTTGAACCAGATGAAGAAAGGACGTTATTAGATGCATCAGTGTAAGCTTTACATTCATGTTGTTTTATTACATAAGTTGAGGAGGGAGCATATATACTAGTATTGAAGTAGCTCTTCCCATTACAACCCCATGGCCAAAAAAAATAAAATAAAGGTTTCAGAGTACTCACAACCCCCTCACCCCTTTCCATCGTCTGGCGGGAAGGAGGATGTATGGAACCTTCAGTATGCCTTTTATTATCTTTTCCATTATATCTGAAGGCTCATGTCCATTTACAAAATCAAGTGACTAAAACTTGGTTGGCATCATCAGTCATCTTCAAAACACAAGGGATAATTTATTTGACGACTTTAAATTCCTAGGAAAACTATTTGTTTACTTTGAATATATTCTATGGTCTAATGGAACAAGGAACTGAAGTATATGCACTTCACATTTTCTGAAAACAACGAGGAGTAATTTTGCTGGGTTTTTCTGAAATCCTCCTGAGAAAACAACAAATTTTTTTTTTTTTTTTTGAAATTCTGGCATTGTGAAGTCCTGTAGCTTTTTGGCTTCTTGGATCCTCTTGGACCAACCAGGATGAATGGTACCAATTTCAGGGTGATTCAGGTCATCCATCTTTCAGTCCCCTACAAGGTCTAGCTCAGGATTCACTCCATCTTTTTATTTAATTTCAATACAATCATGAAGTTACCATTACTCTCCACACTTCTTTGTTATAAGGCATCAAATATTTAGGAAGTTGAAAAGCTCGGCTGACCCAAATCATATTGTTCTATCGTCTATGTTCCTTACATTCGTGTTGACATCTTCATTGTCTAGGCAGTTTAGTGGGAGGTTTTGGATGATAATCTATATAGGACTTTCTCTAAGGATAGATTATCTCCCAAGAAACATTACAAGGAGATTTTCTCCCCACCCATCCTGCTTTGAAGTTTGTTTGTTGACACCATTTTTTCTCCTTTTAATTTTTCCTTCTTTTTGTGGCTCTGGGAACAAGTAGAAGTATAGATTCCAGGAATAAAATATTTCCTATTGACCAAGCTTTTTCAAGAGTGGTTACGGATCATCTGCTTTTTTATGTGTTTTGTAATATGAGTGTTGTTTGTCTTCCTCATTCCCCTTGAATTTTTTCGTTTACCACATATTTCTTCTGTTTATGATACAATTTTCTGTTGCAGTGAATTCACTACTGAGAAAAGTGGGATGGAGGTGATGTGCAAATTGTTGACATCAAACAAGTATGAGTGGACTAATGCCGCACGGTTGATATCAGTATTGAAAACTCCTTTGTTGCGGCTGTGCACCAGGTATGTACAGATAATAGAGGTGGCTTGCTAGGAAGATACTACCCTTGATGATAGAAGCTATCCCTGACCAAATTAGTTAGCTTTCCTTATAATTGGAAGAAGAGAGTTGCTGGATGCAATGGTAAATTCTCATACTGTCAAGCGTGTGGTTTTCAATTCGAGGATATGGAGGAAAGTCACTTTGTGTAAAAAAGGCTGAAGGTGAGGTTTGTATGTAGTCTATCCCTCTTGACACCCTCCATTAAGGGAACTACCACAGTTTAATGGGTCTTTATACTCGTTCGCAGTGAATGATTTACAGAAAAATATCTATGACTCTAAATGATCACGTGAATTGTCAAATATAAGATAAACGTCTAAACTGGCGGTTGATTGGATATGCTTTGATATTATCAGCTGTTAATTGATGCTTCAGTTTATTTTTGGTTCTACGCTTCTGGTTTTCCACTCCAGGTACCTTCTGCAAGAGAAGAAGAGAGGAAAGGCCCTAGATTCAGTTGCAAATTTCCACCTACAGAATGGAGCCGTATGTCAAGCAAACCATGATTTGTATATCATTTTATTAGTTCCTTCTTGCTGATGGCATCCAGCCTCTTGCCGGCTGTAACTAACCTATATCGTGTAATTTCTTTATGAAGGTTGGGATGGAAATATGTTTAGCAAATAGGAATTGATTCATCATCTGGCTGTTATGTCAGATATTGGTCGCATCTTTCTGAGGTTAACTAGGAAAGAAGAAAAATAAATGAAGGGAGAAAGAAAGAAACCCCATTTTATGTGGTCCTACTAAGAGCTACTTAGCAGACTTTCGAAAATTTGCTGCCTTTTGGTTAGAGTTTCCCGAGTTGTTATTAGTCTAATTGCATGAAGTTTCATCTTCTTTTAGGCCATCCTTTTTGATATCCAAATGGAATGTCCTTCACTTTTTGTTTTGTTTGGGGGGAGAAGGGACAGCCAGGGGTGTTAAATCAAGATGATAGGAGATCCTGCGTTACTTTATAACCAAAATGTGTCTTACTTTGTTCGTGTAGATGGTTGGAAGACTTAACTGGATGGCAGATCGATCAGAAAAGGGCCTTAGTCAAAGTGCAGGAATTATGGTAAACTACATCTATAAGTAAGTTTTTTGTCCATAACAATCTTGTTTGGTTTCAAGTATAATCTCAACTATTGATCAAAAAAAAAAAAAAAGTATAATCTCAGCTAAGAACACAAGGCATCAGCATTGCAACACATTTGTACTCATCAAGTGGTTTTGGCCGTAATTGACAGCTTCCAGCTGAAAAGGCCGGTTCTTTAAATACGAAGCTTCAATTGGTGGTTGTACTTTATGTTCCATGAAGTTAGACTATTACATCCTGTATTTTCGCTCACCTCCTCTGGGGTGTGCTGTCTTATTTTTTTCTCATCATTTGGAAGCGACACAATTACTTTGTGGTATCTAATGTCATTGTAGTTTATGTATTAGCACTTCGGGGCTAGAACAACATAAAACATTTTAAACAATATATGCAGGCTGGAAAATATTGAAGAAAATGCGCAGTCATATTTCAGCAAAGGGCATATCCAAGCTTCCTCCGAGGTCCGTGACAATGTTGAGGTAATATGTTGGTTGTAGACGTATATGATTTTGCATGGTTTGGCGGATGAGTTTGTTTTTTCCAGATACATCCATCAAGACTCTCTCTCTCTCTCTCTCAGACATACACACACAGATACAGCTTTCCTTCTCTAGTACATTATTTCTGATTTTAACTTTGGCAGGTACAGAAGCAACATGAAGAAAATATGGATTAGGAGGTTATGGGATAAAAATGGAGTGTGATGGTTTCCTGCACAACAGGTATAATCTGCATAATCCAATGATTTCTGTAATTAATTTTTTATATTTCATTTATATTTTTTGGGCAAGTGGGGGAATGTTTAAGTGTATGAACTATATACTTATTCTAGATTGTTGTATCCAGTGATTAAGAAAGTAAACAGAAAGTCTTAATTCACCAGGAGCACATTCATCAGATGATGCATTAAAATTGAGAGGTATACGCTATTAAGTAATTTTGTTGTGAGTTCTACAAATCACTAAATCAAATATTTTACATCACACAAGAATGTCGCAAAGATCACTTTTCTCTTTCCTCATGACTAGTTTCTAAGACATAATCCCTCATAAGTCTTGTGTTAGATTCATCTACCATCTGCAAATATAAAAAACACATACAACTGAAATAATGAGAGAGCAACAGATGAAGTAGAAGAAGAATTAAAAACATACAAAAATGAATGCCCGACCTTAAATGATAACCGCTTTAGATTGTCCCACTCAAAATCATTCTTGCAATATGCAGATCGAACCTAGATGAAAGATACCATATTATTTTATCAGCAGATGTGAAAATTCAAAAACTAAACAGAACAGCACAACCCTTGGTTTTATAAGAAAGAATAGACTGACCTCTAATATGCGCAAGGCTGCAAAGCGGGAGTCATATACCATACAGTAATTGCCACAAATTCAAACAAGAGCACATTCTCAAAGTCAGAATTTCAATATCTAACTTTTAAAATCAAACATCAACAGGCATAAGAAACACTAAATTGCCATGTTAACTCTTATGTAATAGGTTTAATTGCTCTTTCATCTCCTAGAGTTTGACCTGATTCTCACTTTATTCCCCAATCTTCTAAGCATTACATACCTAAGGTTTCTAGCAAGACAGCCTGAATAAGTTTCACTCACACAATTATAACTACACAGGTGAAAACCTGTGGTTTGGATTTCTCATCAGAACAGACACACTTTCCAAAGAAAATTTCTTACAATAAATATAGAAAAAATGTTGCTAGCGTACCTAGAGTTTTATGCCGCGAAGATTCTCGCATCAAGTCGGCACAAAACTTATCCCCATCATTCAAAGAGTGTCTACCCAAGAATTCCATCAGTTCCTCATATGCCTCAGGGTTATAGCTCTGCTCTGTCAAAAAACCATTAACAGCTACAGCCATCCAGATGCACTTTATACACCCAACAATTAGACTTATTCCTGCTATAATCAGTTTCTAGAAAACCTTAGTTCCAAGCATTAGTCTACAGCTAACTACTTTTGAGTACGAGAGGATGGTGTCAAGTCCTTAATGGAGACATGATGCAAAACCAGAATCAAGATGAAATAACTGCATATAATCAAGTTTCGAAATTTCCTTTTGGTGCATGATTTTCATCAGCTCGGAAATGAAGACATTCTGTAAATGAGGTGAAAATAAAGAAAAAGAATTTGAAAGTTTGTTTGAGAGACCTTCTGAAACATACAAGAAAAAAGAATGGAGACACCTCGAAAAACAAAAATTTTGATATTTGATCACTCGTTCGCTTCAGTTTCTGTTGGAATGGAAACATTTCGATCATTTTGAACTGAAATTTAGTTCTCCATTCGTACAAGCATACCGAATTGCATCCATGCAGAGAAGAATAAGGAGAGGAGAAACCTGAAGCTGAGCTGTGACAATACTAACAGCAATGTATGTGAAGAAATTGTGGAGGTTGTTGCTTGCTTTGGCCTCTGGAGATGCTTCTCCAAATCCTGCAACAAACAAATTAGCATAAGTCCTGCACACACACACGTATAAATATTTATACACACACATATTTATGTATTCATATGTATGTGTGTGTGTGTGTGTATTATAATATAGATATAAGCAAATATTTGTAAAGACAGAAGGTGTGAGTTACCCACCAGGGACGTACATCTTTTGGCATTGGAAACGAGTGGGCTGGGAAGTCCTTTTCTTCCATGGCTTAAAAGGATAAGCTCTGCTTACTCTCTGGGGTTTTGGCAGAATAGAGAAGAGCTGAGGAAGTTGGAGAATTGTGGAGGAATCCATGGATAATAGAACTCTTGCTGCTTCTGTATAGTCTAGTCAATGGCTAGAAATCAAGATTTGAGTCTGCACTACTTGAGGGAATGAAAATATCTCTCGTCTCTTACTAAAATATCTTCTGGTCCATGGCCTGTTTGGGATTCCCAGAAACCACAACCTAAACAGTGCACTTTTTGGCTTGTACCTGGCAACGGTGCTAATGGGCTAAAGTGCACGTTTGCCAGTCAAAGGCTTTTTAATTGGGCTTCTGTTCATGGGTAACACTACGGTTTCAAAACGAGTTCTTTTAACCCCAAGGTTGTCAAGTTCAAGTTATAAAAAATTTATCTCTCATGAATTTTTTAGTCTCAATGTGAATGACTTATTTTTGACCGAATAGGAAAGAGAATTAGTTGAGGTGTGTGTAATTTAATCCAAAAACCCTAACCATTGAACAAAAAAAAAATATTGAGTTATTTTGGTACCATACAAAAGTCTACAATAAACATTATAATGTTGCATAAGGGGTACAAATATAGCTTGCGAGCAATTATAAATCTATGCAGTACCGATATAGAAGAGAGCACTCAAAAGAAGGGCAAGAGAGAACATGCGATGCGAGCATTCAAAGAGGAGCAGGAGAGAAAACTTGCTTTGCGAGGTTTCAATATATGTTATCCTAGTTGGGAGAGTCACGGTTGGCCTATAGGGCAAGGACCAAGTTGTTATGTTTCAGCCAGCCTTGAAAGAAAAGAACATTGAAACATAATGCCTGTAGACCAGTTCAAAATTCAGCGAATCATAAATAGAAAATGAAGACAAAATATGACCATGACCCGTACCCGTGTATAAGATATACATATGTATTTTATGGGCCTACCCTCTTTTATATTCTGCAATTTTCTCTATATACACTGTTGGTAATAATATAATATATGTATGTGATAGCAAGCAACTCATTACAAGCTGCTATATGTCAAAGATGAAATATGCCTTCAACAACTCTTCCTCTGTCATTTGACATATGAGATCATAACTTCTCTCTCTCTCTCTCTCTCTCTCTCTCTGTGAAATGAACATATCCCCAAAGAGAAATAGACTCTCTCTAGGGCCAGGCTTTTGTGTTCTTCTCTTCTTATGTTTCAAGGCTGAAGCCAAGTGTCGAAGTGGCTGCAACCTTGCCATGGCTTCATACTATGTGTGGGAAGGATCAAACCTTACTTACATTAGCAACATCTTCGGCCAAACAATCCCGGAAATTCTTCGATACAATCCCCAGGTTCCAAATCAAGACAGCGTTGCAAGCGGTACACGGGTTAATATTCCATTCTCATGCGAATGCTTGAACGGTGATTTCTTAGGCCATACCTTCAAGTACATAACTGAGATTGGTGATACATATTACAAGGTTGCTAGAGTGGCTTTTTCTAACCTTACCACAGAGTATTGGGTCCAAAGGGTGAATACATATGACCCAACCCAGGTGCCAGATTTTGCTCATATCAACGTAACAGTGAATTGTTCGTGCGGCGATAAACACGTGTCGAAGGATTATGGGTTGTTTGCAACATACCCTCTTCGGGTGGATGAGAACTTGTCATCGGTGGCGACGAAGTCAGGTGTTCCGGCGGAGTTGTTGCTGAGGTTCAATCCGGGGTCCAATTTTAATGCTGGCTCTGGCCTAGTGTTTGTGCCGGCAAAAGGTTAGTATATTTTGTCACCCAGCTTGAGCACAGGTTTGAATGTGAGTAGTTGCATGCAAGAAACCTAAGAGAAAATTTTGGATTACAACCAATCAATGCCTTTTAAAAAAATTTCTCAACTCCAGGTGAGCCTAAGCATTTTAGGTTTTACCCTTTAAACCAAACTTATTGACATTCCAATTCGCCATGATAGTTCAGTGGTGTGGGATTGACCAGAGGAAAACCCGAATGTTCGTGTTCGACTCTCACTAGTGACTAAGATTCAACTAGTATGGAGTACCTGCAGTTAGCTAATAATTATAGGTATTTGAGATTTATTCTGCGTTAGAATTGGCTCGGAGAGATTTTTGTCAGAAATGTTATTAAAAAAGAAAATCATTGACCGTTGGTGGTACATGTGAGTGTATTTTTCAAGTATTTGTCCACTACCATACCAGGAGAGCACGTAGTTAAGGCCACGATTTGTTTGGTCTCCTTCTGATTGACGCGGAAGTTTTAGCTGGCCTGGTCAAGGCGGCAGTTTGTAGCTAATGAAATATCCTACTAATTGTCAATTAATCATCCACAATAAGCAATAGTCCGATGCTTTTTTTATGGAGGAGCCCTGCTTAAGATCCTGCTAATCATGCAAAAAATCAGTACCATAATTGGTTAAATATCAACATGACATCTAAAAAAAAAAAAAGAGGACCAGCGATTTAAAACTCATCGCTTCTAACGACAAAAAAAAATGTAACTGTTGGGTGGCAGTCTTCTAACTGTTTTGGGAAAAATATAGAAATATATATATAAATACAGTCCTTCGTAGCCATAACAATATGATCTTTATCAAAAATATTATTTATCAATCAATTTTTTTGTTTCTTCTTCTTATTATTGTTATTATTATTATAGGTTTTTTCGGGTAAGTATTATTATTATTAATTTATTATTATTGTCAATATTTCATTTAAACGAAGAAGTGCTGACCAAATAGAAAATAAAACTTAACTTCGATAGAATTCAAGCGCCCTAAGCCAATCGTGGCCTCATATCTACTAGAGTCACTAAATTAGATCAATTTGACAAACATGTAGTAGGATTGGAGGGGTGTGAAAATATAATATGATTTGTTAAAATGATACAAAATTAGAGAGTTTGATTTTTTTTTTTAAGCCACTTGTTTCGTAAACGAGTAAATCTGACACGACATGATTAATAAACGAATCGGGTATGAGTGAAGTCAATCAAAATAAATACACGACATGTCTTATTTATATATTAATTAATTATGCACGATTTATATACGCACGAATTCAATATGACACGATTTGTTATATTTGAATTAATAGACAAATCAGATAGCTATGAAGTTGAATACTTTTTGATATGAGTTTGTTAAAATTCGACATGAACTCACCTTATCCGACACGAGTGATAGACCAAAAATGTAACAAATTTGTTGAGATCTTTTCCGAGTTTTGTATGTGTTAAGTAAGAGTGTTTGGAGAAATGAATTGANACCAAAAATGTAACAAATTTGTTGAGATCTTTTCCGAGTTTTGTATGTGTTAAGTAAGAGTGTTTGGAGAAATGAATTGAGCAAAAACATAACTTTTGTTATTATTTGTATAAAATGATTACTTATGAGCCCAAATCTAATTAGGTCAAGTTCAATAAATCAAGCAAGTCCAAATCAACTAAAAGGCAGCTCAAGTCTGTTTTATCAATCCGATCCAGTCTAAGATCCAAAGAGTCTGAGAAGATAATAGCACAAGGAAAAGTAATCATTGGGATAGATACACAAGAAGTAATTATACTTACCTTTTGTAACTATCCTCTCCGAAGAAGTAGTGCCCTCATACTAACGTCACCGCCTCATCACATCTATATATTGTAAGCTCTCTCCATATGGAAAGACATCTCTTTTAACACATCATTCCTACACACATAACTTCTCTCTCATAACTAGTGTAACTCTCTCGGAGCTCTCTCCCGGTTACTTTATTCATTAATAAAGACCTCCGGCCACTGCTGCCGTTTTTCGAGAGTAGAGTAAGTCACCCAGACCAAACTACTATACATTTGTGTGTTTGCTCATATTTATTGTTTTGCCATTGATTATCTTATTTATTGTTCATTAATTAAACTTTTTCNTTATACATCTGTGTGTTTGCTCATATTTATTGTTTTGCCATTGATTATCTTATTTATTGTTCATTAATTAAACTTTTTCACATACTCAATTATTGATCTTGTATGAGACTAATTTGCGCATCATCAATTATTTCGAAAACGAACACACTAGCTTACGATAAAATAATGCAATTATTTCACCGCTACATCACAAAATAGTCCCTAATTCACTGTTCAGGGCCTAAGAAAGAGATTCGGTCTATTATGCAGCAGGGAAGCCCGTGTGGTCTAAATTTTGGGCTGTGGATTTATATGGGCCGGGGAAGATATTAGTTTTGGGCCCGTTAATTAAGTCCATCAAATTTGGCGGTAAATTAACAATAGCGGTAATAGGCGACTGNATATGGGCCGGGGAGATATTAGTTTTGGGCCCGTGAATTAAGTCCATCAAATTTGGCGGTAAATTAACAATAGCGGAAATAGACGACTACAATGACCGTTGAATCTTCCCACCGGTCATGGTTCCAAGAAACATTAAAAAACTCCAAAAAACTAACGTTTTCCAGGTTACCTAACTTTTAACCAAAAAATGGTGGGCTAAGACTGACCCAGTCAACGCCACAACCTCAAGAAACAGGTCACTCTTCTTCTCCAAAGCATTCTTTATCTGGGTTCTTCAGGGTTCCTCTGCTCCGTTAGGTTTCCAAACATTGCAAGGGTGTTTTTCAGTATCAAATCATGGTGGGGGAAAAGAAGAGAAGATCTGAATTGGTATTAGGATTTTGGGTATTGACTTTCTTTTGGGTTGGGGTTGAATCTCAGTGCGATGGCCAATGCAACGCATTAGCTTCGTATTACGTACCGAATGGGACAGATCTCTCATCCATAGCACAAGACTTTTCCAAAAATATCTCTATCATTAGTAGTTACAATAATATTACCAATCCAGATTTCATTCTTGCTGGCACCAGATTGAATATTCCTTTCTCATGTGGTTGTATTCTTGGACAATTTCTGGGTCATCAGTTTGTCTATAAGGTCAGGTCTGGTGACTTCTACCAATTGATCGCACAGACTCGTTATTCGAATCTCACAACCGTTGAGATGATGGAGAAGTTTAACACCTATCCTGCTAATAATATACCGGATAATGCGCAATTAAACGTTACTGTGAATTGCTCGTGTGGAAATAGCCGGGTCTCTAGTGATTATGGATTATTCATAACGTATCCTCTTCGCCCTCGTGAGAGTTTGAGTTCAATTGCCAATGAGTTTAGGCTTCCTGAACCGTTGTTGGAGAGTTATAACCCTGGTGTGAATTTTGGCAATGGGAGTGGCTTGGTTTTTATTCCTGGAAGAGGTGATTCTTTTTTTTTTTTTCTCTGCATTAAAGGTATCAACTTTTAGTAGTACTCTACATATTTCAGTATATTAAAGCTGAATCCATATTGTATTTTTCATTTATTAATCACTTTCTCTTTAAATTGGTTTGAGAGGCAGACAAGTAGTCCTAAAGATGGCCACATGGGGGTATATTTAGATTTAATTAGTTTGCGTATAGTTGGA